CGCTCTGGTAAGGCTATCCTGCCTTTCACGTACATAATTTCAAGTAAGTCTTCTTATTGTTGTTGAAAATAATTCCTCGAGTGAGCCAAGCTTCACAGTTTCGTTATCTCAGTCTTTCCTATCATTTCCCCCTTTGTCTCTTTACCTGAGTATTAGAAAATGCGTCTGATAATAAAAACATCCTACTGTGGTTATGGAACCCTGAGCTGGACTCAACCTTGCCCCTGATTTTAAAGCATCTTTCTGAGGATGGCATTCCGGGTTTGACGATTAATATGGTACAAATTCCCGAGCTTGTCTTGGCTCTACGACGCAAGGATCTGCTGAGTGGCCTTTTCTTCCTACGCGAGCCAAGTAAATATGTCTCTTGGCTTGTGCTGAGCACTTTGTGCTACTCTGAAGATATCCGAACTGGGAAACCTAAGCACTCTTTCGCCAAGGGGATCTCCGGCAAACTGATAGCGATGCATGCGGCGTGTTTGCAGGATGCCCAGTACAAGTGCTGCAGCGCTTCGATCGTAAAAGACTTGTGCTGCATGTTTGCAAACCTACCTTATCAGCAAAGTAAGGCGAACGGCCGTAGCATGGTGGGACCACTGCAAGGCTTGGCTGGTATCTTTTTGAGATACGAGGATACCAAACCAACGGGGCAAATAGCGCGTGGAAGAGGCCGAATGGGATATTTATGAAATGTGATGGCGTGGGAAACAGTATGCATGCTCCTTGCCGATTTATGTAGCATAACTTACCAGACCTATGGCTAGCTTCGAAAAGCCCACGTTCGGGGGTACAATAAGCCAGCTATTGGCTCATGTCACCACGTCTGATGCATATCTCTAGGCGACCAAATAAGTGCAGTCTGAGCGGTGCCTATCGTGAGACGCCTGCGATCTCCATCAGGCGGGCCGAGCTTTCAAAGGGTGGTGTGTACTGTTTGTGGAACACTACACAATCTCTTGCATGATGTGCCTGTTCATGTGATTGTGGGCGCTCTTTCAGTTGGGTGGGATGCAACCTGGCTCGTCTTGTAAGCTGCAACGTGCCCCAAAAGGGCCTCTATCATTTAAACTAGAAGCTATATCCGGGCTGCCAAGCATAGTTTATATCACTTCTTTATTCCGCGCAGTTGTGCAGGTGTGTTTGAATGGGGAGTTACCCAGCGTAATGTAACGCAGGTAGCTCCAGAACAGGAATCTGACGAGCGGCGTGGGGGCACTGACCGGAACTGAACATCACGTATGGACGGAGGAGAGAGAGGCGAAGCTCATGCAATGCTCCTGTCGCATTCACAGCATTCGCGTTGCCTCTCGCCAGAAGCAACTTCATGCCACCGATCACCTTCGCATTCAACACGGACATGAAAAGTTATGTCTCATTCATCACCGCCTCTCGTTCAAGGGAAAGCAAATGGGATACGCTGAACGGAAGAGTCGGAAAGCGCCCAAAAGGCCGCACGTAACGACGAAAATAGGGCTCTGAGGCTTGGACGTATATACAAATGTCCCTTGTTCAACGGCACTAAGCAGGCCATCTTGTGCTCACCTGCTGCGCGACGTCAGTTTGTTGAAAGCAGTGCGGTGCAACATATATCGCCGTCTTAGATGGTGTAAACAGTCGTCACCAAGATTATCTTTTCTCGCCTAAGTTTAGAAACTCGCTTGCCTGGGGCGGATCGCCAAGAATTGTAAGTTTTACTTCGCAATGGAAGAGGCATTTGAGGCGGGCTTCCCGGAGATCCGAGAACGAGGCTCACTGAAGCTGTCGCGTGCTGGCGTAGGACTTTCTCCGCGCAATTCGGACAAACGAAGTTGTAACTAAACCACCATTAGGGAAACGCGGCGTATGCCAGGGCGTCGCGACGCACCGCTACAGCACTTGCCCCGAACATAACTCCGGTGACACTTGCGGGAGCATAATGGCAGCCTGTGAGGAATAAGCAACAGCTTCAGATGCAAGTGGGCTCGCGCCTCCTGTGGAACAAATACCAGCGGGTGGACTTCGGTTGTCCAGTATCACTTTGTCGGTTCATCCTGATTCATAATATTGCTACTTCCCCAATCGGCAGTGGTAGGTCTAACGTGGTTCCTGCTTTGTCTTCCCAGTGCTTGCCCAGGGCCACCTTCCCAACTTCGTATTTTACAGAAGGTGCAACATTTCCCACAGCGGCAAGTCCTCTTCGGCACGTTTTTAGGTTCCTTGTCTCTGGACGGCGGGCGTTCCTTCCTTGACTTGGCTAGGCCAGCAACTTTTCTCCTCTTTTGTGCCTTTTCCTGTCGTTTTGGGCAGTCGTTGGCCATCTCTTGCCGACCGCATAGCGTTCCATCAAAACGAAGCCCTCCATCCTTCACTCTGTTCTTCTGTCACACTTTCTTCCATGCCTCTGTGACCTTCCTCCTTAGCGGCCCTCGCGGCCCTAAATGTCTCGTCCAAAAAGGCGCTAATTGATTTAGCCTTTCCCAACAAGCAGAAAAGAGCCATCGCGCCCTCCGAACTTCGCAGATGTCTGTGAATTTTAGCCACGGAGCAAGTTGTCCCGTTGGAGCATCAGCCGCTTGTCGCTGGCAGAACCCTGAGGATGGGGAATAGAAGAGGTTGAGACGCCAATCCTCCCCCTGTCTCCAATTCTCCGCATCACTCACCACACCTCCGGCGCCACTGACACACAGAAGCGCCGACGGACAACAGACACCGAAACAGCGAGACTGAAAGAGAGTAGCGGTCCACTGAAGGAAGCTAGAGGCAATTCTACCGTCCTACGTATTTGTACGTCGTATTTTTCAGTGTAAATATACTGTGTGAGCTTGGCGGGGAAACTGCCACTTCTTTCTTCTTTCGTGCGACGCCGTTCACGGCAGGCGCGAACCAAGCGGGAGGCAAGTTTCTCCAAAACTAAAATGTAAGGTGAGGTTTAAAAAATAAAAAAGTAAAGGAAGCGAGCGCTTCGCATTACGGTGTAAGGACTTTTGTAATCTAGTGTGACACCCATTTCTTACGGGGCTTTTGTCAAAAGGCGTTATTTGCGAGATTGCCGCAAAGGTTGCTTCTACGCTGATTCCTGATCTTTTCTGGGCAGGTCTGCCGTCTTGCCATTATCTGTCCGTTGCTATTTCCCGTTCTGTTCTCATTGCGACGTCCGATCTTGCCTTCTTTGTCTGTTGTGTCTTGGTTTTATACAGGGCACTTTCCCTCAACCGTCCCTGCAAATTCAAAGTCACCTCTGCTGCGCAACGCTCTTGCCAAAAATTCAAAAGTCCTTCCTCGCTACCCCAACAAAACCGCCCAAAGGAGAACATGAGACACTGCGAATAACACACGCGAAACCCACGACAAAGACGAACATCAGCCGAAACCATCAGTCTCACTGCCCGACACTGAACGAAAAGAAGTCTCCAGCGGGAGAAAGAGCAACAGCTGTGGTTATCCGGACTTGAATTCCTCTCTTGCCTCTTTCCTATCCCTCTCGCATTGATCGGCCTCTGTCCTGCATACTTTCCCTTTGCGTCGCCTGGCGAAACCGGAAACCGACTTTTGGGGAAGTGGCGTACTTGCCTTCTCTCTCTTATTTCTCTTTCCCTCCCAGCAATCAGCCAAACCGTCCTAGTCAAGGCAGGAACGAGAGTATGTATCTCGCCTTCTGTCTTTCCTTCTCAACCAACTTTGCCTGTTTTTTTTAACCATCTTCCCTGCTGGACATCCCAATTGTCGCTCCCTCTTTTTTCTTCTTCCATCATTTTCTCGCGTCTCGGATTTTGTGTCCCTCCCTACCGCCCTCATTCGTCCCCTCTATCGCAGGCCAATCGCCTCATGCGCGAATACCAAGTACAAAACTCCAATACCTAATACTAATGCTTGTCGCTTGCCCAGGCCTTTAGCACCATTTAAAACCGGCTTCCCCCCCACTGGACGTTGCATCCACTGAGCCACAGTTCCTGCCGCCCGCTCGGATCAGACTCCACTGCAAGCAGCTCTCCATTGCGACCGCCCCACCCACGCCCGTGGCCTTGTGTGTCCTACGTCTCTCAGGCGCACATCACGCCCAGACAACTCAACATTCCTCCGCCACAGCGCTCTTCATTTCGCTGAATTGCACCGACTCTCCAGCACTAGCAAAAGTTCAGCGGAGACTTGCATTGACCAGTGCCAAATGCGCTCCTAACCAGTTGACAAAAAGGATTGACAAAAAAAATCTCTTGGAGACGACCATCGACGACGCGATAGAAAGCTGGGTCGAGCAACCACATCGACTCCAGGCCCACGCTCCCGGCCGCTGCGGCGGCTGACGTCCCTGAACTTCCGCGGACAGTCTTTGTTCGGATTTGAGGCCAGGAGAAGGCCCGTCTCTCCACTACCTGCCATCCAGGATTTCCTGTGACTCAGCCTTGGGGCTCTGACGCTGTCTTTGCGCTGGCTCTATGGCGGCCACATTTTCAGCTCCTCCTTTTGTCTCTGACCAGACAGGCCAGAATCAGAATACAGGTTCGCCAGACCACCCCATACCTCTTTTTCTCTGTTTCCGTCAATTTTCTGTCTCCCCTGTCACTTGTGTCGAAGTCGTTGAAAGACCGTTGTTTCTTTGTTTATTACTTCCTTCTTCCTCCTAATCTTCTCTCTCCCCCGTCCGGTCTCCCCTTTCTTTCCTCCACTTCACCAATCGACTCATGTTATGCTGTAGTTGTCCCCAACATCGATTCACAGCACGTTTATCCCCAACGAGCAAAGTCCTGTCGTACTCTTGGTCTTTCGTCTTACAGGGGCAGGCGCGTCTGCATCTCACTCTTGACATATAACCCACCTTGCCCGCGTCGCCTCATTGCCACAAATCTTCAAGCTACACCGCACACTTTTTACTTTCAACCACAATTCCTGCGTCGCATTCGTGCCTTTGTGTAGCTACTGAAAACCCAGTCTGCTGACTTGCGCGCCGTCGACTCTCGCTTTGTCGACTTTCAGACCAACTTCGCAGAAAACAATCCCAGCAATCTTCGCTGGCAAAGCTTGTCATGAGCACGCATCTAGCTTCAGCTACGAACTCAACTTCCTCCACTTCCTCGTCTCCCAAACTTCGCCAAACAGAACACCCGCCAATTCCTCAACCTCACGGACAAGATGGCCATCTTCTACCTCCTCCACAGGCCTCTCTCGCCCATGCGCTGAAGTCCCTGAACAACGGCACCACCGACTCGCTCCCACCACCAAGCAACATTAATGGTACCGCTGGACCTCCAACCAGCAGGCCAAACATCCCACATTATGAATCACCCTACGCACGGAGCAATGCTTCGACCGCTCCTGGGTCACCGAGAATGTACGTGCCAACAGCCTCGTTGCATGGGAACAGTCCACTTCACACCCATACATTGTTTACGTCACCTTGCTTTTCTTTCTTCCCACACACGCTGCTCGCAGAGCAAATGTTCGCACCCCTGTGGTATTCTATTTTTGCCAACTTTACGTCGACTGTGGAGTGCTTCTGGGGAGGCGTTGTAAAAACAACCCTGCCAGCCTGCGTACGACGACCCGCATCCAGCGTTTTATTTCCTGCTGACACACTACGTCATAGTCCTCCGCTGAGACAGAACTCGGGCAGCCACACGCCGCGAGTCCGGCCACATGCGACGTCCTTGAACATCCCGGGCATGACCCGGTCCAAAGTCTCGCCCGATGGCCGCATCCCCGACCGTGATGTTGCCGCGAAGCTGGTCATCATCATGGTCGGCTTGCCTGCACGAGGTAAATCGTACATTACAAAGAAGATTCAGCGATACCTTTCATGGCAACAGCACAACACGCGCATTTTCAACGTTGGAAATCGGAGACGCATTGCCGCCGGAGTTATGCCTCCATCCTCTTCCTCGCCCAGAGGCAGGTCGCTGCCTACCTCCCAGCACCGTCAGTCGCTCCTCAACCCTAACGGACAGGCGGATGGCCCCGTTCAGGAGGCTGCGTCGATTTTGTTAAATGGCACTCATGCTGTTCAAATCGAGGAGCCCACGACGTTCGATCTCAACGGCTCTGCCGAAACTGCAGGCACTCAAGGCGATCAGCAAAACCACATGGACCAGTCCGCCAAGTTCTTTGATCCGAAAAACGAGACTGCATCCAAGATTCGGGAACAGGTCGCTCTGGAGACTCTCGACGAGCTCATTGACTATCTGCTCAACGGAAACGGATCTGTTGGTGTCTTGGATGCCACAAATAGCACCATTCATCGGCGGACGCTTTTGGTTGATCGCATCAAACGGCGGGAGCCAAAACTGAACATTCTGTTTATTGAGAGTATCTGCAACGACGAAAATGTGAGTTGTGCGAATTGTTTCCACCAAAAAAAAATTTCAGCGGACTACTAACAGTGGTACCCTTGCAGTTGTTGGAGGCAAATATGCGTCTCAAGCTCTCGGGCCCTGACTACAAGAACAAGGACCCTGTGCAGTCTCTGGAAGACTTCAAGGCCCGTGTCAAGGCCTACGAGAGTGCATACGAGCCAGTCGGTGAATACGAGGAAAAGCACGACTGGCAATACATTCAGGTAAGCCAATCATCCACAACCTATGATCTTTCGCGAAGCACCCTTCTTGACTAACACCAGTGCCACTTGCTAAATAGATCATTGATGTGGGACGAAAAATTGTCCACCACCGCCTCAGAGGCTTCTTGGCCAGCGGCATTGCGTCCTACTTGACAACGTTCAATTTGTCTCCAAGACAAATTTGGATCACAAGACACGGCCAGAGCCTGGATAATGTCGCAGGCAAGCTCGGTGGTAACTCGGATCTCACCGAACGAGGCCATTATTACGGGATGGCGCTGTACAACTTTATCACGGCAAAACGGAAAGAATGGGTCGTGGAACAGGAAAATAAAATTGCCCGCGCCTCTTTCCCACCGCAGCCTGGAGATCACACGCCCCCATATCCCGAGTTCAATCAAGACCTTGAGGAAAAGAACTTTTGCGTCTGGACATCAATGCTGAAGCGCAGCGGAGAAACGGCCGAGTACTTTGAGGCCGACGACGATTATGATGTCAAGGCGTGGGAGATGCTCAACGAACTGAATGCTGGCACGTTCGAGGGCATGACATATGAAGAGATTGCGACAAAGCACCCGGACGAGTACGAAAAGCGTCAGCACGACAAACTGCAATACATCTACCCAGGTGTCGGTGGCGAAGGGTATTTACAAGTCATCAACCGGCTGCGCGATATGGTTCGGGAGGTCGAGCGTGTCTCAGATCACGTTTTGATTATCAGCCACCGCTCTGTGTGCCGCGTCTTGATGGCCTATTTCATGGATCTCACGCGCGAGGACATCGCGGACCTGGATGTCCCTCTGGGGATGCTTTTTGCCATTCACCCAAAGCCATATGGTATTGAGTTCCACGCGTATCGTTACAACGAGCCCCAGGGCTGGTTTGATGAGGTCCGGGACTACAAGCCACAGAAAACGCTTGACCGAAACAACTGAACGCAAGCTTGGCCTTCAAGCGACCATTTACCAGCACCGTCCCATCACGACACGCCAACCACAACGCTAACACCAAGCTTGTGCTCAGCACTTGTATGAGCTATGCATTTTATGAAAACGTCCCACATAACACGACATGCTGGCAAGCAATGCTCAAATTTTGCCTTTGCTATCCAACGCTTCTTACCTCCTTTTTTGCTTCTTATTGCAGCCTTTTTGTTTGTTTCTTCTGCATTTGCCTTTTAAGTTTTACCGATGTTCTGTTATGAGAGTTCTACGGTTATGGGGATTTTGCTTAATATTACAGCTCAAAGCTATGCAGCGACAAAGATAGGCGCAAACGGCGTTCATAGGCTGTCTCAAATGCAAACAACAATGCAATTTTTTTTGGACATCAGACATATCTAATTGTACTTTTGGATTTGAAATGATTATGAAACTTTTGGACGCCAACGCTTGGCAGCTTGGGCCCCACAGATGCATCCTGCGTATAATACTGACCAAGACTAGACGTGGCTGGGCTTGCTAACGGCAATAAATAACACTGAGCTCTCCAAAACTAGTTCCGATCGCCACAGCTGAGAGGCCAGCAAAAATGAAGGCCAAAGCTTAAAAACATTGAAAGAACAGGGCAACACATCTAAGCAGCAAGCCAAGACCGTTCGACCATGCGCCGGCATTTTTCTTGTTTTTCCCTTTATAACAGGGTCTAGAAGCAGTCTCTTTTTTTACATCTCTCGTCTTTTAGTATTTTCCATACTTCGAGGCACCCGACGGTCTTTCTTCCAACGCCATTTCCACACCAGGGCTTTCGTTTCGCATCTACGCGTTTTGCACGGCGCAGATTGAGATACGAGCGCCAAGACCAAACTTGCCAATCCAGACTGCGGAATACGAAAAACAACAACGACAACAACTTCTTCCACCGAAAAAACGGCAAACGGCGCGGCTTGTCGTTGTCTTTAGCTCGAGGAACGAGTCCAATCGTAGCACAACGGCCTCCCCAGCTTCCACGAATCATTCGCGCTCCTTTCGGCCACACAATGAGCAGCGGAGACGGTCCACATGGCGACTCTTCGACGCCGTCGCCAACGTTGGGCGTAAACGCACCGCCCTCGTCCTTAGGGGCCGAAGCATCGACGCCAGCCGATGCTGTTTCCGGTTCCGTCCCCGCCAGTCGCACGACATCGCACAATGGCGGCGACAGGCGCACGCGCCGTCGGGGGCCCAGGCCTGGACGCCGCCGCAAGCCCCAGGAGTTTCTTATGCCGGACGGGCGGCGCGTGCTGGTGGCGCTGCCCGAAGACGTGGACGCGCTGCGCGACAAGTACGCGGGCGTGATGCGTGAAGCCGCGCAGGACGGTGGCGAGGGCGCCCCGCAGGTCGAGGTGGTCGTGCACGGCTCGCAGGAACACAAGCAGTACTTGGAGGAGTGCCAGGCGCACCACCGGTCCCAGCGTGACACGCTCAGGGCCAAGTACGGGCCCGAGATGCTAGCGGAGTGGGACCGCGTCACGGCCGACTTCAACAACGTGTCGACGGAGCTCGAGAAACTGGCAGACCACTCCGCGAGCCTGGGCCACAACTTTTCCAAATTTGGGTACAGCGCGACGCTGCGGACGTTTGGCGGTGACGCGGGCTACGGCGGCCACGGCGGCGGCGGCGGCGGCGGTGGTGGTGGTCACGGAGGTTCCAGTGGCAGCAGCAGCCGCCGAGGCAGCGAGGTGGGCTCGAGCGCCGACAGCATCGCCTCGGGCACGGACGACGACGACGACGATAGCGGCAGCGGCGGCGACGACGGTGGCAAGAGCGGCGTGCCGGTGTGGCATAACCAGAACAACGGCCAAATCATGCAGCTGTTCAAGCGGCCCATCGTCAAACAGTATTTCCATCGCGGGCTGCTCTGGCGGGCGAGCGAGGAGACGTCGGTGCAGAGTTTCGAGCTGTTCTTTGACCTGCTCTACGTCGGTATCATTGCGGTCAACGGCGACCACGCAGCTGAGTCGGCCGACGGGTTCGAGCTGCTGCGTTTCCTGGTGACGTTCTGCCTGAGCTGGAAGATCTGGAGCGACGTGACGCAGCTTGTCAGCTGGTTCTCGACCAACGACGTCGTGCAGCGCGTGGAGATTCTGTTCTTGTTTGCGTGCCTGCTGGGCGTCACGGTCAACATGGTGCAGACCTTCTACGGCTGGGGCTCCTCGGGCGAGGCGAGCAGCGCACCGACTGCTGAGCCGGCGGCCGGCGGGGGTGCTGCCGAGCACAGCCTGCTGTTCCGACGCGAAGAACCAGCGACGGCAAGCACGAGCGAGGCCTTCTTGGCCGACACGTACCCGGCGCTGGCTGCATACTATGTGACGGCGCGGCTGTTCATGGCGCTGTACTGCTTTGTGACGGGTCTTCTCGTGCCGCTGGTGCAGGGTACAATGTTCTGCCAGGTGGCGCTGATTGTGATCGGGGCGGCGCTGTGGATTGCGAGCATCCATTTGTCGATGCCGGTGCGGCTGGCGTGCGTGTTCGTGGCACTGGCGTTTGACCTGTTTGGTGGCAGCTTCGTGGTCGGCCTCTTCCGGTACGCTAACAGCCACAGCAAAACGCGGCTGGGACGGTACCTGATCAGCAAGGTATTTGACTTTTACCCGGCGATGAACATTGAGCACAAGGTCGAGCGGACCAATGCGTTTATTTCACTGGTGCTGGGCTACTCGGTGGTCGGGGTGCTGTACCAGAACAGCCACGGCTATGGCGTCAATGCGTTTTTGGGCAAAGCCGTGCTGGGACTGGTGCAGGCCTTCATCTTCAACTGGATCTACTTTGACATTGACTCCACCAACATCCACGTGCACGCGATCCGGCGGCGGGCCGAGACGGCGTACATTTGGCAGTACGCGCACTTGCTGTTCACGCTGGCGTTTATCCTGTCGTCGGCAGCGCTGACGCGGTTTGTGGTGGCGACGGATGTCGACAACGCGTCGATTGACTCGCTGACGGAAATGTACCAGGCGCGGTCGTCGCCGGAGCTGTCGCTGGGCTTGCGACTGTACTACAGCACGGGTCTGGGCGTGTCACTGTTTTCCATGACGCTGATCGCGCTGTGCCACCAGCACAAGATCCCGCCGACGGCGCGACTGCCCAAGTGGGCGCGAATGGCGAACCGGCTGGCGGTGTCGGCAATCTTCTGCGCGCTGCCGGCGGCACAGACGCTGTCGTCGCTGTCGGTGATGTCGATTGCGACGGGGCTGATTGCGTGGGTGCTGATTGTGGAGATTTATGGGCAGTCGTGTGTGGGGGACCGCCTGTTTGAGACGCGGGAGGCCGGCGATTACACGGCGCGGTGCAGCCAGCGGCGGCTGCGGAAAGCGCTACGGGACGCGGAACGGGAGCACCAAAAGGATGTGGAGGACGGCGGCCGCGACCAGCCGCAAATTGATGTCAATGTGCTGACACAGGGCCAAAAGCACGGCGCAATTTATATGGAGTAAGGAAGATTTTTATTTTATTTTTATTTTTTTAACTTTCTATAGTAAACAATGTAGGGGCAATTGGTATCATCTTTGGGAGTATATCCAGGGCAGGTCTAAAGCGCAAAAGAGAAGTCTAATCGTACATAAGAAAATAGAAAGAAATAGAACGAGAAGACAAAACAAAGAAACACGGAAATGGCAACAGACAGGTCCGGGTTCGTATCCCACCCGGTCCTTCCAACCCTCAAAAGGCAGCGCCGGCCTAAACAACGGCGGCAATCTCTGCATCTCTGCGACGGTCAAGCTCCTTCTTTAACATGCTAATGCAGCTCGCGACGGCGAGAGTGACGACCATGTCGCGGTTGGTCTGGCCGTCCAAGTCATGCGGCGGCGCCGTCTTGACATCGCCAAACTCTGCTTCCTTGGCAACCGACAACCACTCGTGCAGGTCGATCTGCAGGCGACCGCCGTTGCCGGCATCGTGTTTACTGGTGCCAGGCGTGCGCAGGGCGTTGCTGCGGATCAAGCGCGCCACGGGGCGGCGGACTTCGCGGGGCTTGCCAACAAAGGTGCTGCTGCTGGCGCCGCCGCCGTTGTTGTTGTTGTTGATCGAACCAAAGACCTGCGTGACACGCTCGAGGATCATGAGGCTGTTGATGGTGTTGTGCTTGACGATGTCCTTGTCGTTGGGCGACGCGCCATCATCGGCGGCGGCGGCGTCGATAAACTCCTGGGACAGGGCCTTGCGCTCGTCGCGGGTCGCGTAGCGCCACTCAAAGGTGCCGAGGCGCGAGCGCAGGACGCGGACGCGGTTGAAGATGGACTTGCCCGTGAACTCAAAATGGTCCCACGCGGTGCTGTCGTCGCCCACGGAGAGGGAAGAAGCGTGGTTGGGATCGAAGAGGGCAATGCGCGGCGGGCGGCCCGGGCCGACCCGGTAGACGGTTGTGCTCAGGACGCGGTGCTCGTCGGTACTGCTGCTGCCGCTGCTGCTGCCCGGCGCATCGTAGCTGCCGCCGGCAACGAGCGTGCACGAGTTGGAGCTGCGTTTCTCGCGGAGCGAAATGAAGACGGGCGGTCGGTTGTACATGGCGGTGCCGTCGTCGCTGTTGACCATGTAGACGTTGATCGGATCAGGGCGCGACATCCGGGCAAAATCGGAGCACACAGACTTGCCCTGTGTGTCGAGCTGCAGCTCCAGCGTGGGATGGAGGGCGACGCCCTCAAACGACATGCTTGGCGCGACGCTCTTGGCGCGAGCAGTGGACGCAGTCCCGTCGAGCTCATCGTAGGCGGGTGGGTTGTCGCCCTGCGCGCCAATGTCGTCGCCGTTGCTGCTGTTGCTGTCGCTGTCGGCGTCGCCGCCGCCCGCGTGCTTCTCGTATGGAGGCACGGTCTCGGTCTGGGCGAGAGTCGATAGAGACTCGGAGCTGCGCTTGTGGTTACGGTGGAGGAACGAGAACCGATGACGCTTCTCGTCGCTCGCGGCGGCCGATGGGACAAGGCTGGCCATTGTGGGACGCGGGGTGGAGGATCGAGGATGTTGGGGTGGGTGCTCGATCCAAGAAATGTGAACAAGATTTTGCGGTGTAGACTGAGTGCTGTGTTGTCGTAGTGTTGATGTTATTGACAATGAATATCTCCAACTCTAAAGCCGGGGCTCACGCCCTCTTTATAAGCTCGACGGTCGACAGCCTTCTTCGTTCCATGGATCCCAGCGTCGTGGTGATTGTTGGTTCTGTCGAGTCAATGCAAAAGCTTCTAGACCGTTTCGAGCAAAACAGCGCGCACTCCGACACTCAAACGGCAATGACAAACGCCCGACAGACTCAACGAAGCACCTGTGCTTTCTGCCCGCCGGCTACTCAGCCTTGCATGGTGCCTTGAAGCAGTGTAGAACGAACGAACGTCACAGAGCGCACCGTGGAACCTGATTGGGTTAGTTCGGTTCACTCTTTTCCTTTTCCAGCCATTGCAGGCCATTCAATGCGAGAAATACGATTGGGGAGTAGGCTAGCCAAGTAAAATTCGTTAGTGGGCATCTCAGGACGTTATGTGGCTGTGCGGTCATCGCCACTGGGACGTCTGCGCCTCGTCAGTTAGTACTGTGTCTAGTTTTATGGCTAATGGCTGCCTTCACGACGTCCCTATGCCTCACCAACATGTTTAAGGCATGACGTACTTTGACTTGTGATGAGTCCATGTTTTTTGCAGTAAGAAAAAGAAAATAATAATAATAATAAAAGAGGAAATCTCCTGTTCTGTAAAGGAAATTATGGAGAGTTCATGCCATTCATTTTTAAGAAAATAAGAATTGTAAATTAAATCACGAGTAAATAAACAAAACGTACATTTTCGGTCCTAAGAAAGACATAAACAGAACATTTATATCATAGTACTATTAGCAACTGTGACAAAGTCCATATAGTTCAATTTGACAACTATCAAGTTGTATCCCATACGTAGTCCACCAACAGACACGCGCTGTAGCCCTAGACTTAGATCGACGTCTGCTAGCGATCGTATCAAACACATTTGACCGGCTTAAGCTCACACATGGGCCATTCTGTCCCCGTGAAGAGAGTGCTGGAGAGCCCGGGCAGTAAATCGTAACATGTGTCATTTGCGGTTATGGCCCGTCGTGTATCATAGAAGCGTGCTACACATCCAAAAAAAGAGATCAAACAAACGGATCAAACAATACGCCACAAAAGTTATCACTGCTTGCCAAACGCACCCAGGTCCCGGTCCAGTTCCGACTCGACCCACATCGGCCACTTGTTGTAGGCCAGGTACTCGGGCTCCACCTGTCGGTTGAGGTGCTTCAGCCACCGGAAGATGCCCGGGTCCATGGAGCCGTCCACGTCCTTGACGCCGTCGACCTCAATGGACGGCACAGGCTTCCCCGCCGACCGTCCCTCGGCGCTCTCCATCCGCGACAGAGCCGTCGACACGACCTCCTCCTTGGAGGTGATGCGCGCCATGATCTGTTTGAGCGCAATCCAGTGCGTCGCCAACAGCACAAACACCTGCTTGTCGAGGTCAATGACCTGGCGGAACTGCTCGTGCGGCAGCTGCATCCACCATGCATAGTGCCGCGTCATGGCCGAGTACGCCTCCAGGGGCGACACCAGCAGCGCCTCGGCCATCTCCACGACCAGCTTCTGGTACGTCGTTGCCATGCTGTCGCCGGCGCAAAGCGGTGCAAGGTTCTGGCAGGCTGTAAGCGCGGCCATGCTCCACTGCCGGTCAATGGCCGACATGGGCTCGATCGCCGGCCGCAGCAGCTCGGCCTGGTCGTTGTTCAGCAGGTTGCGGAACATGATGCGTGCGCCCTTGAGGTACATCTGGATCGCGACCACAATGATGCCGCGGATAAACGTCATGTACTCGGCCATGCCGTCGTCGAGCGCCACCGACTGGAACGTCAGCGCAAAGCACGTCGCCATCAGCGCGTTGCCCTCCTCGAACATGGGCGTGCCGGGCGCGCTGGAGCCGCCGTGCAAGTCCCAGGGCTCGCCCGAGCTCGACCCGGACTGTCGTCGCGCCCCGCCGCCTTTCCCGCTACTCTCCTCACCCGTGCTGTGCGGCGACGCGGACCCGGAGCCACTGCGCTCGCCCACGGCCGGCTGTGACTGGGCGGCACCGGAATTGGGCCACTTCGGGACGGCAGCCAGCGTCCGCTTGATCGACCGGATGGCCTTGAGACGGTGGTCCATCGCGGCAGTCACGAGGCTGGGGTCGTCCCGCATGAGATCCGAAGCGGCCATGCCGAGCAGCGCGTGCATCAAATAGTCGTACTGTATTGTTAGTATGCGATAAGAAAAAATAGAAAAGAAAAGAAAAAAAAACAACAAAGCCAAAGCAAACGAGAACGAGGAAAAACGGCAACACACCGAATGTGAAAGGCAGGGAATCTCGTGCGTCCAGAGGGAGTGGTTCCCGAGGGGGTGGTGCGGGCTGCAGTGCAGCAAAAAGTGCTGGAAGAAGCGCATGTCCTGCAGACTGAAGAGCGGAATCTGGTGCTGTGGCTGGTGGTTGACGAGCGGCGCCACGGGGTACTCGCACTGCAGTCCCGTCTTGAGGCAGTGGCCGCAGGCTGGCCGCGTCTCCTGGCACTTGATGCGGCGGCGCTTGCAGTTGAAGCAGCCACGCCGCGACTTGGTGTGACCGCGGCGCTCGAGACGTTTGTTGTGGCTGCTGTTGCTGGCGGCTTCGCTGCCGCTCAGGTTGCCCTGCATGTGGTGATGGTGTTGCTGCTGCTGCGGCTGGTGGTGGTGGTGGGAGCGGGCGTGGTTGTTGCTGGCGAGGACCAACGTCTTGCCGGTCACCGACGGTGCCGAGATGGACAGGTTCCTTGCGTCGGGCGACGTGGTTCCCGGCACCAGCGGCATGGGCGAGAGGCGGCCCGGTGTGGTGGAAGCCGTACTCGCGCTGCCGCGCGGCAACATTGTGGAGCCGGTCGATGCGGCTGCCGTTGTCGATGATGCTGACGAGCCCAGGTGGAACGCGTGGGGTGTGGAGAAGTGCATGTCTTGGTCGACGACGTCGAAGCCGCCATGGCTGTGGCTGCGCAGACCACCGTCGCTCACGGTGCCTGGTGACGGGACGATATGTTGACGTTGTAGTTGCTGGTCCCTTTGTTGCTGTTGCTGCTGCTGCTGCTGTTGGGGCATATTGCCCATAACATCGCCTGGCGCCGGCATGAAGCCGTAAAAGTCAAAATCGGGGGCCGGAAGCGCCGCGTCGGCGGCGGCTTCCGGCTCGTCAAACATCAGGTGGCCGTAGTCCATGCTGGTTCCGGATACTGTGCGACTATGACGCGGTGGCGACACGAGGAGGTGAGGCGGCGTAGGCAACAAGGACGGAGGGGTAAGGTATGCGAAATCCATCAATAAAGGGGATGAGGAGAGAGCGGTGCCGTTGGAGGTGAGAGGTGAGGTCCGGGACGAGGATGCTGATGGAAGGGGGAAATCTCGTTGGAGAAAAGCTCGTTGGAGAATGAAGGAAGTAAGGTTGCCTTGTGGGCAGCCGCAAAGTGGGGAGGATTGAATTAAAGAAGGTCAAGATGAGGAAATGCAAAGCCAAGAGAGTGAGGTCAAAATAGACGACAAGAATGGTAAGAACGGGCAGTTGGCTGATCGGCAAAAAACGTCCGTCTCACGGTGTGCACGTCTGTTCTTTCTCGTTTCGACTTGTCTTCTTCTGCCTGGGCTTAAGATGGTGGGCAGGGAAGGTACGAATGTAGAATGTCGTAGCGGGCAAGAACGGCGCTACCAATGCCGCCCTGGTGGTTGTCGAGACTCAGGTTGGTCCACCGTTGGGACTGGAGCTGGCGGGTACCCCTTTTCGCATGCGTGCGGTTCGCGTCGCAAAGGCAGCTCTTCTTGGTATCGTACCTCTGGGCGCACGCTTGGATACAACTGTGACGGAACGCCCTGCGAGAAACATTCAATGCGGGCTTGGCTAGAGAGTAGACTGTTTTCTGGCGGCCTAGGTTGTGACGTCTGAGACTAGATAGAGCTGAAGAGAGAGTGGATTGTCAGATGTCGGATCGAACTTGGGCACTTGAATGCTGGGAGCCGAGGACCGACTTGCAGACAGATGGAAAGATGGATTTATGAATGGCGATGGTGCCGGACAGTGTCACGAATTTTATGTCGCTCCTTCTTGTTTTATGCCGCTTCGTTCTATGCCGCGACTTCCCACACTTGTTCTCAAAATAACACAGTTGAATCGCAGAGGGCGCGCCTTCGCAGGGCAGGAGCGATCGCGAGCGATACACATGTGCTCAGCCTCGCCCGGGACTGATGCGGCTCGGTGTCTCCTTGGCCATGGGGGGCTCCTGTCCCATTCTCCAGCGCGCTTGAGGCCCTATAGCACACCCTCCAAGAGCCGCACCCGAAGCCCCCAAATGTGAGACGGCCCTTTGGCAGTTCGGGGGCTATGCAGGTGGGCTGGGTCTGCAGGCCGTTGGCGCACTACGACTTTAAATTAGTGGGTTCTTGCCTTTTATGTGGTTCTAGTGGGCCTATGTGGAGTGGGGACTCTACAGAACTAAGCTGCGTCTTCTTTCGCGTCATTCATTCAATCTTTTATATGCCTGTGTGTCTGGTCTCGGGACGATCGTCCCTTGGGCGCTATGGTGGCACGTTTGGTTGGGTCTGGTGCTTTCTCGCTGCACGGTTGAGATAAAAACGAAAACGCAACGTCGCAATTTCCCTGTTGTGTGCCTCGTGTATTGTTTCCGGCGGGTGGTACTCTTTCCGCCAATTCCTTATCACGGTCCCTCGTCCCTTCCCTTCTCCTGAACGCCAGTGCCGGCGCGAAGGAACTCATGAGGACAACGGAAGGGAAAGGGGAAGGAAGGGGACGTCAGGGGCTCGTCGACGGAAGGAGTCAAGGAGATAAACTGGTAACGGTTTCTCCACATGTCGTTCGTAGATACGACGTAATATTCCGTACATACTCCTCCTGTGCAATTTGGTGCCATCTGGCGCATTTTCGTTCATTTTGGTGGCGGTTTTAAGCTTATCCCAGAAACCTCCTGACTCTTCTCTCATTGCATTTTGTTGTTTTCGCCCTCACTCACGCCCGTTTACTTTTCTTGGCTCGCCCGGGATGGCTTCCATTGGCGTTCCCGCAGTTCCAACTCATTTGTGGCGTCTCTTTCGAACATGGTTCGCCGCACCTCAAAGTCGAAGCACTGAGCGCAATACGGCCTGGCTGATGCTTGGCATGCGCTAATTGGACGACAGGCAACATTCTCTTTACTGAGTAGTGTTTTTTGGGTCGTTTCTGGGTTGTATTAGCTGTCGTTTTAGCTGAAGATCGGCGCTGCAAAGGGGCTAACCAGGGAAGAAGACGGTTGCCTAGGGCTGACAGACAGAACCGTTGCTTCATTCTCGCCCCTGTGTAGTGCGAAATCTGCCTTGAAAGGGGAGTTCCAGATGCCCAACACTGGCCTGCGGCAGAGTGAGAGACAGACGAATATCTCGCAATTGTCTCGAGTCTTTTAATTGTGTGATACATTGATACCCAGCAAGATCTGGTGGACGCACGAGTCAAGGAAGGAGCGCTGCAGACAATGTTAAAATAGGAAGGAGGCGACGCGATGCGATGCACGATAAACGAGCAATCGGACAGGCAAGAAGCAGGGCTGCTGGCCTGCTCCTTCCTGGCCAAGGCCCAAGGCCCAAGGCCCAGAACGAAGCCCGTCCAAAACCCCGCAAATTGGTAGCGCATCAACCAAATGTGACGATGCCAACGGCCACGCCGAACAACAATGTTAGTCAATCCAAGCCTGCCATGCCTCCACCCTTCACCCCTGCTCCAGCCCAATGTACTTACCGTATATCGACGGTGTACAGAATACATGAAGGTGCTGGCAACCCTTTTCATCACACAGAAGGCAGCGAAGGCGATCGACACCGGCGCAGCACTTCGCTCCATCCCCTATTTGCTTGCGATCGCCAGATGTTTCGCACAGACTCGCACGAATGAGAGATGTGTCAACGCCCAGCACTCTTTGAGTGCTATGTATGAGCTCTTTGTCGGTCGGCTGTTAATACGAGCAACCTGGTCCATGCTCCAGCATCTCCCACTGTGCCGGCCGGCAAGACCCAAAGGCCAACGTTAGCCAACCTGGACAAGAACGCCAACGAAGACGAGCGACAACGCAATGGCCGTCTCGTCCCCGTCCTTTCATTTCCCCTCGTTCTTACTCTAGTGCCACCCCGCCGGCCGTTCTCCGCTGTATCTATAAGTGCCACATACTGAGTAGACCACAAGCTCGCGGCAAGTTTCTAAAAACGGTACTAAGTACTTTAGTTATTTGAAATACTGGTAAGATGTCGTTTTCGTGGAGCGCTATGTCAAGTTATCTTGCATGACAATCAACACTTCTCCTCGACGACGTCTTGTTTCGGCTCCTCATATCGTCCACGGCGTACGGTTCACGAGCACGTGCCCTCACAGAATACTGATTCACGATGTTGTGTTTGTGCTTGGCCGAAACGCCCACGCTCAGACCGGAGGAGAAAACAATGGATGACGACACATTTCTTGGGCCATCCTTTTCTGCCTTACCAGGCGATTTCGGCTGACTTGGCGGAACACCAGAGAACCAATCGAGGGCCACCGCCAGCAGCCGCCAACAGGTACAATCCAAATTGGGAAAACAAAACAGTGTGATCCATGGTCCAACGGTTTGTTGCACCACGCATCACACCGTACCGCGACTTGAATGTTTGTCTGCGTCACTGTTTCAAGCATCTTTTGGAGTACAGAAGTGGATGCAACAGGGATCTTCGTCCTTTCTTTCCAGCACTTTGAAAGTCACTCTCTTGGATCGGCAGCTCCTGCGGTTTCGTTCCGCCCTTGCCATGACACTGCTAGACGGCTGGCAAACATTGCTCACTTCGGGTTGGGACAGCCCGACTCTTTGGGTTGCGTCTGCGCGTCAAAACCTGCCTGTGCTGGCGCCCCTGTTCCACCACCTGACGACTCAGACAACCCTTCCGTGGTCGGCGATCTCACCTCTCGCGCTGTCGGCCCCTGTCAGGCCCTCCTGGCCCTTTCCCGTGGAATTTGTACGCCGCGGAGTACGGATGTTTGGACCAACACTTCGTATTTTTAATCACTATCCCATCGAGTCGTCGAGCACGTTGAGTCGGCGTGTCGGCCATTTTGATTGGACAAAAGCTAGCCATTCCCTCCTCAAGGGACGACCATACTACGGCTAAAAAAAAAAAAAAAAAAAAAAAAAAACGACCCTACGGCGTTTATTCAATGTCCATGTACGCTGCAGGGGGCCGTAGAAAGGGGCAGCGTGATAATTGATCCTTGCCGTGCGCGCAAAACAAAGCAGCCAACAGGGGGAGCTGTCGAAAAGCGTGAATGTGCTCGGTAACACATCTTGGAATGTGCGAGAGTGAGAGTTGGAAGGACAAGAGCCACAAAAACAATAAAAAAGCCCTCGAAAATCTATGGGGAGTTTCAAAAGCATTGGAAAGGAAAAAGGGGAAAAGGCCGGAGCAGAGAAGAAGAAGAAGAAGAAAAAAGAATCCTTCGCTTACTGTGTGCTCTGGCTGGCCCCTTGTTGACAACTGACGTCGGCATACTGTGCCGTGTTGCCAAAGGATGGTAGCTGCTTCTCTTTCTGTGATGCGCATCCGCCAGTTCTTTTGTCAAGAACAACCACGGCCCTCCGTGACCATAAATAGGTCGTGGTAGCGTGGCAGCGTGCCAGAGACATAAATAGGAGTGCCAAATGGCTAAACGGGAGGGTGGGCAGTGAGATTGAGAGCTGCCCAGTATCAGACGTACGGATACGCATTGTGCGAGAGAGTCCCAATGTCCAAGTCTCTACGCTGCGCCTCACCCATTTCCTCTTCAAATGTTGCAGATTCTTCATCATTTTGTAATATCACGATACCTACTTTGTCTTCTTTTTTGCACTTTCGATCTCAGGTCTATCTGTGACTCGCTTTTCTGTTCTTCCTCGTGTCGTTGAATTGGATGTGCTGCGCCTTCTATCTAGTCAGTCACATACACAGAGAGAGACAAGGTATGGCGTGATTGCGTCACTGGTTGTCTGACCAAGACAAGCGCCGAGGACAATGATGTTTTGACGGGGAGACGGTCATGTCGTCTCACGTATTCGGCGACCTGCATCACTCGATGCGAAGGCATAGTGTGCTATTTTCAAACCTCCTCGAGACTGTCTGCTCTTGGCTTTGAGGCCAGACTTCAGAAGATGTGCTTTCTGGAACAGGTAACCAGAGTACGATATGCTTGTTTGAGGCCGTGAATGTGCAGCAAAATCGAAGGATAGCATCCTCTGGACGGAAACAACGTGAAAGCTCAAGAGCTGCTGAAGAGCTGAGACGACTCCGTGGCGTCTAGGGTGGCAGCGATCGAGTGGTTATTGTCATCGGGCGCTTAGAAAACGAAGAGCTGAGAAGAGAGCTGATACCCGCGGTTTGATCCATGGTGACGTCGGGCATGGATGGTGGAAGGGCGAGACATGACTGAAGACGGAGGTGACGAGGCGAACCGACGTGACCTGGACACTGACGAAGGACGTGTGATGTGCATTAAGAGGAGGCTCGAAGCTGTTCGTTTCTATTTTGTAGTCCTGTGTGATGTTGCCGACTGGGCATCGATCTTGGCATGCTCTGGATGATTGCTGCTTTCTCACGATTTGGTGATGATGGCCTCTGGCGCCACTTCAAACAGGTACCTATTGTTCGCGTGCCATTCCATTTGTTTACTCTTAATAGGGAATGGAGTATGTAATGAACGTTACCTGCCTATGGCATAATGCATTAATGCTATAACTGATTGTATCGCAGCTTGTCGCATGGACAGGTTGACAATGGAGGCGTGTAGTAGATTTGTATTGCATGTTTGACATCTCCTTGGGATGCGCTGCACTGCAGAAACGGGCGCGCTATGACTACCGTGAATGACACGTACGAGAGCAATGTTCGAACTCTCGTCTGACAGAAGCTTGCGTGTGTTTTCTTTTTCTTTTTTGTCGAGAAGTTTTGTCACGAACCTGGAGTGGACAGTTGTGTTGGTCCATCCGATAGACCTTCACAACGGGAGACAGGTTGAGAGTACCGTCTCGTACTCTGGTCGTCTGAAAATGCAATGGCCTCGGTTCTTTTGTTTCTCGATGTAAACTTTGTAAATAATGTTCGTACTGTCCAGAGTCAAGTCGCGATGTCTGCCGTCGGGGGTACATACCAAACTACAATTGCGATGCCATCTTGCAATGCAATTATGCTCATTAGAAGGAGCTGCACACCTGTGAATGGAGAATAAACGGAGAGGAGAAGCAAAATATGAAGCTTCAGAGGCAGAGAGAGTAAAGATTTCACGGCACACAATTTTTGTTTCAAAACATAGCACAGCAGGATCCTGGATGCTGGCCTGTCATTGTACGGCCACACGTAACGAATTGAAACCTTTAATCACTCTAGATAGATGATTCTGTTGTGACCTCTTTTTGTCTTCTTCCGCCAGTAAACTGAGCCCTCGACAATGTCGTGTTTTATCCAAGTAGGTAGAGCCACGTATCCACGACTCGTCGGTTGTTTGCCCTCTCATCCATCTCTGAACAACGATCCCTGATCTAGAGCGTCTTGCTCCTCGTAATGATATGAAGCAGGTATTCGAGAGCGGGAAATCCGGCCTTTTGACTTTCTTTCAAGCTATGTAGAATTATTCTATATTCATTGCCACGTCTTAATCTCATGTCCAAGGAACAGTGGCCCCATCACGAAATAACCCATGGCGATGCCGGCTAGACATCTTGAATATAATTTATGAGGATGGGCGTGTCCCCCAAGGGTTGCTCTAGTGCCAGGCTTGACTGGACAGGGGCAGGGCGTGATGCTATCATTTTACTACTGTTTGTTTTGTTTACTGCGACTTCCTGGTCTGGATGGCATGGGGGCTGATTTCCTGTGCGATGTAAATTGGTGGCAAGGTTCTCTCCGGAGTACGAGACGATCGACTCGTACAAAGCTCCAAATGACGGCTTACGGAAATACGCATCACCTCAAAACGACGTGTCGGGCCTAGTTTCGTCCCTCGTGCACCCCGTTCTGTCCTTTGGCAAACTGTGCATTGTTTTCCTCGCGCCTTTTGTTCGTCTTGTCCTTATGTACTATCGCTGCCACATCATTTTCTTTAGATCATGGTAGACGCAAGATGGAACGTCTATACGGACAAAAGGACAGCGGAGAAAAGGGATGTGTGTTATGCGAAAATCAAGGGAAAGAGAAACCCGGGGAAAATTGGACACTGTGATATTTTGCTCTCGACCCCCGAATACATTGACTTCTTGCTCCACAGGCATACGCGGCATCAAATATCTGGCTCGCGGTCACTTAGCTGCCCAAATCCTTGACACAGGTGCGACAAGATACCTCAGCATATCGTACACTTACAATAGTGGATGGCTGCACGAATATTTGGTACTCGTTCGTCGTGGCCTCTCAATATTGGCCTGTCCGGCGTCGTACGTCGAATTTTGCGGCACCCGAGCTCAGGAAGACCAAACTGTTCAGTATGATAACTTTATCGTGGTGAAACAGGAATGGAGATGAATGGTATTCTTCCGCGTCACCTCTCTGACGTGGTCAATTGGACACAATCCTCGCTCAAAATGCGTGCTTGCCACCAATATTCCGGTGTCGACGAGTTAGCTGCACGTCCTTATTTTTCTCTTCTTTCCTGGTCCCCAAGCCCGGATTATGGAAATAGAACGAAAAACATCGACTAGATTAATTTTCGGGCACGGGAGGCACAAAATAGCCAAGGCAGGCAGGGGGATGGGAAGGTCAAAAATGTTGGCCGCTGCAGGGATGGAAGCACAGGGAGAGACGATGTGGCTGGCTCATTGGTTTTCAGTCGTATCGAGTACCGCTGAGCTGCACTGCAGCTACATATTGTGCTGGGATTTATTGAGCAGGCTGGTCCGACGTAATATTCCGGGCAGCATATTGCCCTTGGCACTTTTTCGCCGTGCGAACGCATGCGGCATGTCGAGAAAGTTCGTGTTTCTCTGCGCTTTGTGCAGTGGCTCGAAAAGCCCAGACGAGGATGGCCACTGTACCCACTGCACCTCATAAAACACATGTACAAAATACGAAGACAGGGAGGAGTTGTTCCTGGCGCCAGTGTTAGGTCTGGTTGGCCGAAGAACGGGGATGATTGCGACGTGCAGGCCACACGGAAGATCGAGTAGAACAATATGTCGATTTTCGAGGTGCAAAAACCGGCTTTTGAATACGAACCTCAGGGCCCGCCCCAGTTCCAACACATTCAGAAAGCAAAGGCCCAAAACGTAACGAGTTCAGAATATGCCATAAATAAACACCTCGCGACGGCACTGCAAGCCCGCGAAGATCCATACTTTCCATGCTTTCGATCTCTGCTGCTCTTCGTACCGTGCGAGCGGGCATTCGATGTGGTGAGATATCGGTTGGTTGGTGCGGTTGGGAGGAGAGGCGCACGGCAATGGTGCAAAGTCAAAAGCAGGTTTGGCAAAAGGGGAAAAGATGGAGCTTCAGTGGGCGATGTGGGCAGTGCAATTGAGACACTGACAACTGGCCAGAAGCCAGACCGGCCTGGACTGTTGGCGACCGCCCATAGGGTCAGATTCAGGCAATGATAGGCAGAAGGAGGAATGGGAGATCGTCCCCGAACCCATCGGAAAGCCAAGCTTTTTGGCATCGTGGAATATGTCAATCCAGCCCGTGCAGCCGCCACGGGAGACTGCCAAAAGGAGCCGACAAACGAAAGTTCAGGTAGGGTCTGGAACAGGACACAACAACCCGTCAGAGTGGGAAGGCAATTTCGCTTGCGGTTTCAAGGTACAAATCGCAGTGAACGCGTCCGCGTAGCGGCCGAAGTGGGTGACATCGTCGTGACAGTGTGTGTGCGAGTGGGAATCGGCACTGCTTCTTGCACAAAACGCAAGGGCTGTCAGGTCGATTGGCCGCTGGCCATTTCAGCACCTTGCCGAATCCGATCTGCATTTTCACAACCGAACAACAAAATACTGACGCCAGAAGCAGGGGAGAGAGAGACGACCAAGAGAGCATACGTCCGTAGAAACAGAGTAGAGAACAAAGAAGAGCGCGTGAAAATACGACACGAAAAAGAAACGACAAAGAGGATAAGGCCCACTGAACCAGGGGTTACATGTGCGGGGGCGTCTCAGAAACGAACTTGCTGGCGACGAAAACAAAAAATTGTATCCGTCGTCCGCAGACACAGCAACACTCCAAAGGGTATTTCGTAGTGGACGCAAAAATAAGGAAGGCAAGACAGGAGTCGTGCGACAGGGGAATGGTGCAGTTGACAAAATAGGCCAATCAGATCCGCGACAAGGGTTTGCAGCTTGCTGCAAGGAACCAGGAACAAGGACCGATGGCAGAGTGATGGCTTACGTACACCATCGGAGAGAAAGTCAACCATGTCGAGCATGCGTACTCACCAAAGAAAGCCAGAAAAGGACCGTGTTGCACGACATACTCCGTACTCCATATAGCGTATAGAACGGCAAAGACGGTGGATGCCAGCCCCAAGGCCGAAGGCCCTCTCCAGCTGCAGCCAAGAAAGGCACAGGAAAGAAAACGGAGAGGCATGCATGTCGTGATTTTGCTGGGTGGCTTTTTGTCGGCCTGGACTGCCCCGCCTCGATGCATTGTTGTTCTGGGTTGACCGAAAGAAAAGCGCGCAGGCCGGGATCCGCAAACATGCACAAGGCAGCAGGGCAAAACGACGGTCTCGGCGGAGGAGGAGGAAAAGAGGAGAAAGGAGGCAAGAGAAAAACACCCCCTGGCATCACGCCAACAAAGACCATTCTCGCCAGGCTCTGGCTCTGGAAGACAGGTTTCCGGGCTGGCCAGGACCCAGCCTTCACGACAGGGGTTGGGAGGATCCAGCGACCCGCTGTAGGAAGGATGACAAAGAGAAGAGAGGCAGAAAAGGAAACAAAAAGAAGAAGAGGAGTACGACATATGCCAAGACTGTTCCTTGTTTGCGCCTTCTTTGTTGTTTTCGCTGTCCGTGTCGGTGTCGATTCATATAAGAGTCTTTCTTTGTAGACTTTAGCATGCTCTGTCCGGCAGCTCCCATACCAAGAATGCCACGCTCCAAATCTCGCATATGACAAGAAAGAAGCTGCACATGCTTTTCTTCCATTTGAACTCGCCGACGTACATCTTCATTGACGTAGTGGTACCTACGTGTGCCCGCCCTTGCAACAACGGGGCTTGTTGTTGACTGAGCCCGTACAAGTACATTTTTCGTCTGCCACATATAGTATGCTCATAATAGACACACCAGGTTGACGACGCCGGCCCGCCGAGCACAATCTGCGAAAGATACCTTGCCTAGCCATGTATTTTGCTATGGCCTGGGGACGCCGACGCAATCTTGGAAGACCTGCGTGGCGATAACTTGTTTGTTTTCTCGATGTCTTGTTTGGCTGCGTGTGGGTTGGCCCAGTCCTGTGATTTTGCAAATCGATTCACCAGTCCCAATCAGGCTCTGTTTGTTGGCGCGAACCTTGCGATGGTCGTCGTTACCCACGCCATCTCTGTCATTTCGCTGTTATTTGCAAGACGGTTGGTATTTCTGCAAGGGTCTCAAGCCTGGCCTCGTAAGCCGCCGTGACCTCTGATGCCGGCTTTATTTGTTGTGAGGTCTCGATGGTCGGAAATTGTCTTTGCGTAACTTGCTCTCTGCTAGGGACCGGCGTGGATGCATGCCAGTCTTTGAAGGCTGGGGTAAAGGTGCTGTGTTGTATCGAACGGAGGCCTGGGACTGGTGATGACCGGCCAGGGATTAAGGTCGGTTGGAGGATGGGCTGCCCAGCCAGTCTGACCCATTGGCTTTTTGCTTGATGTTTCGTCCGAAGAAGTAGTCTTGACGATACAGGGGAAAGGAAATAAAGGAGCGGCGACGATGAAACAAAGAAACAACAAATCAAATCGGAACAAAGAACAAGCGCCGGGGGAAGAAGGACAGAGGAAACAGAAAAAGAGATGAAAAAAAGCAAACGCAAGATTCAGTCAGTCGGGCCCTAGCACACATCGTAGGCGGAAAACACCGAAGACTCGGGAAGCAGGAAACATAAACAAGCAGCAGAAATATCGGGCGATACTTACGAGGCCGTTGGCTGGAAAATAGACCCTGTTTCGCAGAAACAGCCAAAAATACTTTGTAAGCGTGAGATACTCGAAGCCAGCGCCAAGTGAAGCACGGCGGCGTGCTTCCACCACCAATCATGGACCCAGTGTCTTTCCCACCCGGCGACTCTCAAAGATCTGCTTCTGCAAGACACAAACCAGTGCACAAGCTGGGCAAAAATGCTGAGTTTGTCGAGCCGCGCGGCATTTTCGTTTCCTTGATCCGCGCTCGGTTTTCAGTACGACATAATATTTTCCACTTCCACAAGCTGGAATTACCCCGGTCCACCGCCACGACTCTGCATCTCATTATTCAAGCCAGTGTCGTTCATTGTCAACGACGACGCCGGCGGCCACGCTATGTACGTCGAAAAGCGGTCCCACGACAGACACCAACTCTCGCGCCGTTGATGTCGACGGTTGGCATCACCTTTCAGCCAGTGGCCGGACTGGGTTGCAATAGCGGCACCAAAAGGTACATGTGATGGTTTAGACGACGGACGACACGCTTCGGACAACACCAACGACAATACCATTACCTGATCGGTGCGTGTTTTTGCCGTGGGCCAAAGAAAGACAACGCCATGTGTACGTGGCGACGTGGCTCGTCGGCAGAGGTGTTCTAGGGGCTTGGCAGCATGCATGTACTTTACCAACGACGGCGATGTGTTCCACCGCCGCTAGCTGACCGAGCAGGGGTGACGAGCCTGCGAACCTGGCCAGCGCAGAAGTCGTGAGAATGGGGGCGGCTTTGTGATTTTCGTCTCTGCGTCTGTTGTGTTTGTGTCTGTCGTTGTGGGAGTCGGTCTGTGCGAGGCGGCCCCTGAAACAGCAGAAACGCACGCTAGTAGGGGTTAATGTCAAAACGGGAAGGAAGAGCAAGCGGGGGCTGGGCAGTAAACAAAAAGGGTTATGGTACTTGATCTGTCCCTTGACAGGGCAGCAGCTGCTTGTACCTTTTCTCGTGCTGGGGCCCGCTCTGCTCTGACGGCGCTATATTTTTGCACGCCGCCGTCACATACAGCGAGCTGACCGGCCTAGTGTCCTTCCCCGTCCCAAATAGCGCGCCGCCCAAGAACTTGCAAAACACGCTAACACTGCTACGACATTCCGGACGGGGCGCCTAACTGGGAAAGAGAGGCCAGAGCGGGTCGCCGGTGTTTTTTTCGACTGTTCTGTGTCGTATTTTTTCAGGTCCAGACCGACCAGTGGCCACGGATCCTAGCATGTGGAGAGCCTACCATAAGAGCCTGGGTAAAAGGATGTACTTCGTACAACCGTGACTCCAGGAAAGGAAGCCACTGCGCAGAGCGAAACACATTTTGGGTGTAAAAGACGCAAACGATGTAAGCGGTGAACGCAGAGGACAGAGGGCAATTTGGAGCCCGTGGGGGCTTCCCGTTGTGGCCAGTGACATACGAGGTGCTCTTTCCTGGTTCGTGAATATCGCGATAGTTGTCAGAAGCCGAGACGGTGCAAGCCGCCGGCTAATACGTGGATTCGACGGTGATTCTAAGAACGTGTTCTTTCTGTCAATAAAGGCCGAGACGTGGCAGGTGGGGCTGGAGAATGGACGAACTTTTAATCGTACGGAGTCGCTAGGAAAGAACAGACGACCAGACCTGTTTCGCCCCTCAGGGGCTCGCGGAATTGGTGTGAAGGAAAACAAACGACCACAGGACATGCCCCACTTTGGCCCGTGGTACCTGGATTGGTACCTGGATTGGTACCTGGATCGCTCTTGCCTGGACTCTTTTCCCCTGACACTACAGAATCATCGTGGGATAGTACTTTCTCAATAAACAAACCAAGTCGGGCATGTAGAAAATGTACAAACTATTTTACGGCTATTTAGACGCCCCTCACTGCGAGTACCAACATGGTCCAGCACCGCAGCACATGCGGTTCTATTGACAACGTCCCTCAATTAACCGGGGGCGGTGGTACCTGGACAGAAGACAGGCCCGTGAGGGTGCATTCGTATGGAAAGCTGCATAACTCAGTAGAGCAGAAATAGCAGTACCACCAAGGCCCTGGCAGGCTCACCTTGGGGAAGGTACCTGAATGCGGTGCTGCCGACAGCACTGTATCTTGCCCTGGCTCTCGTACTTCGTAAGACCACACGAACCGTACTCGCCCTTCTTGGCCAGCCTCCCTGCGCTCCTGCTCTCTCCCTTTTTGGCAGCAACCGTACAAGGTGGGGTGTGTGTTGTTTGCCCGGCCACTCCTACTCCTTCTGGCTGGACCACGTTCCTGCATTTTCGCCGCCCTCATATTTTCTCGTCCTTTTCTCTTCGTTTCAACTTCCTCTCACTCCTTTTTTCTTTCCTTCTTCTCTTTTCTTCTCTTTTTCAGTCCACACCCTGTCCTCTGTTTAACCTTTTTTTTCTCACACCCCCAACGCGTTCAGTCGTTGCTGTCTTTCCTTTCTCACATCCAGGTTTCGCAAGCCGTTCCGCTCTCTTTTCATATATCCCTCTCCCGGTCGCCAGTCTCGACCTTTTTTCGTCCTTTTCTCTCCTCTCCCCCTTCTTGCTTCTCGTCTCTTCTGCTGTGTCCTTCAGGCCAGTTCGTTGCCAAAGCAAAGCATCCACACAACAACTCACGCTCCTTTTCTCTCGGAGACCGCAACGTCGACAAGCAACCACCTCAGCACGCATCACTCTTTCTGCGTCTTTGATAGACTGCGCCTCTCTGTTCCATTCTTTTTTTCAAACGCACCGACAGGCTTCAAACCGATTCACATTCTCTTCACCTAGCTTTAGCATCAGCTTTTCCAGCATCTTGTTTTGTGTGTGTCCACGACTGGTTCAACTTGACATATTTCCACTATTTCGACACGACACAATCGTTTTGTTAGAACAATCATTTAACGACGCATCCGACAAAGGCCGTTCCACGACAAAGAACGACGAAACACGAAAGGATCCAGAAAGACAATAAATACAGAAGTCTGTCAATTTTATTCTCAGGGATCTACTTCAGTTTCAAGAATTTGCGTCGCCAGACTTTCTCACAGCGCCAAAACTTTTCTCACGCAAAACCCATATCAACATGATGAACACCAAGATCGTCGCCCTCGTGGCGTCTCTTCTCGCCCAACAGGCCGTCGCGCTCAATGCTCACCGTCACGCTCACAACCAGTACCACGTCAAGAAGGCCGTTGAGTATGTGAACGATGTCGTGACTGTCACCGACTGGACCATCGTCACCGTTTACGAGGACGGCTCCCCGGCCCACACGACTACCACCGCGCCCAAGGCCATCTACAAGGGTGCTCACACGGAGAGGCTTACGTCGACTTCGACGTCTGCCAAGAAGACATCTTCGACGAAGAAGACGAGGACCACTCATTCGACGTCTTCGTCCTCATCTTCGTACTCTACCTCGTCCTCTACCTCGTCCTCGTCGTCGACGTCGACGTCGATTGCGACGCCGACGACTCTGGTCACCTCCACCAAGGTGTCGTCCTCGTCTACCTCGACGAGCTCGATCTCGTCCGCCAAGGTCCAGGCTGCGGCTGCTCAGGCTCAGCTCCCTACGACCAGCATTCTCGCTGCCGTTTTGCCGACGACCTCGTCAAAGCCGTCTTCTTCTGCTGCTGCCGTTCCCACAACCGCCTCGTCATCGTCTTCCGCTGGTCGGGGTGCTCGTGGTCTTGCTTACAACTCTGGCGACCTTCTGACTCCTCTCCTGGGCTCTGGCACGAAGTGCTCGTGGTCTTACAACTGGGGTCAGATCGCCGACGCCTCGGCCCCTGAGTCTCTCGAGTTCGTGCCCATGCTCTGGGCCCCCACGCACTCTGACGGTTGGAGTGACAACGCTGCGGCTGCTATCGCCAAGGGGGCCACCAGCCTTCTGAGCTTCAACGAGTGCGATAATGTTGGCCAGTGCAACATGGACCCCGCCAGCGC